ATACAATTTGAAGGAGACATGTTCTTAAAAATTTCAAATCCCACTACGCAGGCTATTATCCCTTTTGTTTTGTAAGAAAGGCAAGGTAAGAATTGACTTAAGTTTTTTTACAGGCTTAAATTCGCTGATAATTGCTACCATCGTCAGACAAACTCTACTCTGAACCAAGTGACCAGACTTTTTCTTRACCGCACAGTTRTCTGGGAAAATTTACCTCAAATCTTTTCAGAATAAACTTAATTAATGTGTATTTTGACTTTGTATGTAGTTTTAGACTGCCATGCATTGGTCTAAATTTGTCTATTTTTTATCTTTTTGGTTCTTTTTTCATGAGTCAGATCGATATCCAGGATTTGCAAACACTGATTTCGTGATTGCATATATAGACAGCACCCAGTGTAAACTTTAATAAACGGGACATCGATCTTCAGGGGCAATCACTTTATTAAGTAACCATGGTAATGATTCGAAATCAACTTGATGATAGCAATCGATCATTGCCGTTGACCGTTGAATGAAGGCATTCTGTTATGCGTAAATGACTTTTATCATGTAAAATAACAATCATTTCAGTARGCTGTATTATCAGCAATTTCAGGTTTGCATTCTTTCACTTCAATAGTTTGTCCGATTTTAGTCTTCTTTTCTTTGCGTTTTCCAGACAAGTAGGTAATGATGAAATCTAGCAGCTCACAAAAAGTCAGAATACTGCAGCCCAAAAACAAACCAAGATAGCCACCGACATCAGCTGAAAATATAGAAAAAATAACAAGGAGTATGTGACAATTATTAGTCTCCTTCACGGTTACCTGCGCCATCTTGAAAGGTAGCCGTGCCTTTACATCGAAGCGAGACAACCGTTGAGCGTGCAATGATAGAAACCTTCTTTCACACCTACAGACAATTATTCACAGGTATCTATTATTGCACGCTCAACGGTCGTCTCGCTTCGATGTAAAGGCACGGCCTTCCTTTCAAGATGGCGCAGGTAATCGTGTAGGAGACTTATTCATTGGAGTACGATGTTAAATGGAAACTTATGAGACTGATGGTTACACCAATAGTATCGTCATGTGCAAACCAAGATGTAATCTGCATGAATCACAGGCAGTATCCAGGCGCCCGAGCGGGTCCTGGTACGAGTGTCTAGAGAGGCACTCTGTCGAGGTAGGGTTGTCGTACGTATTCCATATATGGTATTAACTAACAAGCGTATAGAGGCCCCTAACAAGCGAATAGAAGCACCTAACAAGCGAATAGCGGCCCCTAAGGAATCCCAATTTACTGGTGCTATTAGCAATGCAAAATACTTTAAATGTCACAAACAATTCGTTAATTGTTTGCCAGCGTAATCTCTCGTCGTCAGGTTAGTTAAGGCGCTTTACATTTGTAGTCGAAGGCTTAGGTTTAGGGAAAAGGCCATCCGGGACGGGTCAGGCTATAAAATGTTAAATTCATAATTCTAAGTTAAAATTTGATAAGAAAATTTTTAATAAGTTAAGGCGTAGCTAAAATAAGCTCGAATAAGTCGATAAAAAACTGTAGAAAAATATACAAGTGAAAAAAAGTATGGACCCCTGTTCGCTTGTTAGGTGCTTCTATTCGCTTGTTAGTTTGTGCCATATATGGAATACGTACTACAAACCCGCCTCACTCTGTCGCTTTGTAAGGCTAGAAACGAGAAATGCCTGGTTTACATATACGAATGATCAGACGTAGGTTAAAAGATGTCAATTACACAGTAATTAAATGATAAAAGGGAACAGTTTTAGCGTTTCGATTAATAACTTACATCCAAAATCAT